TGAGCTATGAGTCAGAGCAGAGTCACTGTCATGGCAGTCCATCAGAGCTATGCTCTGGGCCCTGGTCAGACCACATCTGAATCACCAGGTTTAGTTCTTGGCACCACATTTTGGGAAGGATATTAAAAAACTCCCCCACAAGTCTTACTCATCATGGTGTGGGGGTGTATGTGTATGTGGGGGGGGAGAAGGTAACCCCAGGTTCTTTAAACCTCAGCCAACTGAACACAAACCCTGATAGAATTTATCAAGTCAGAAAGGTTCTAATAAGGTCCCAGCAAGAGACTGTGCCTGCTGTCCCAGGACCAAACAAAGTTACATTTGGGGAGACTCATCACCAGCAAGTTTGCCCCTAAGTGATATATTATTTGGCCATGGCAATCCAAGAAAAATCAAAAGAATCCTCAGTTCTGTGCAACCCCTATGACCTTCTGAAATGACAGTAGGAGAGAACAAAGGGTATGAAAAATTCCCAAATTTTAAAGACTTCTATAGACATTTATATGACTGTTAGGAGAAAGTTTGGGGATATTTGTACCATCTTCCTCCCTCTCTCATTTTAGTAACTGGGTGTGACGGGGGTGGGGAGGAGAGACACAAACAGAGAGACAGACAGAGACACAGAAATGGAGACAGAGAAAGAAAGATAGAGGCAGACACAGAAAGAGACAAAGACAGGAGAGAGACAGAGACAGAGAGAAAAAGTAGTGGAAGCAGAGAAGAAATAAAAATCTGCATTTGAGTCCTCCTCTCCTTACCAGAGGAACACTATTGTCAGATGCTGCTTCACCAGTCAGGAAAGGCCCAAAAATTAAGAGAAAAAGTAGTTCTCAGATCTGGGTAATTTTAACCTCTGCCCATTATATCTTGTTTAGTCAGGTCTTGTGAGTTATCTTCCTTGTTTTTTGTATCTAATTGTACCGTTTAGTGTCTCTTGAGGGTTAGAGGCTAATTCATAGCTTCTGCACTGCAAGCTCTATGCCAGGTGGACTTAGGGCCAGTGGCATTGTCTGCTTTTTTCAAGAAACAAGTAAGTTTTAAAGCAAGGGCACCCTGCCCTTAAATATAAAGTTGTCTTCTCAGTTCAGCCAAATAACACACTGGTCCTCATTCATTTCCTAAATTGATCATTGTGACTCAAGTGTCATGGGTAAGGGATGACTTTTTTTTCCAAGTCTACATCTCTTTATTATTAAGGTATAATAGCATTTATATAGGTTCACAAAGCATTTTACATATATCTCATTTTATCTCCACAACAACCCTGGGAGGTGGGTGCTATTATAAATGAGACAAGCGGGTTAAGTGACTTTTCCAGAATTACAGCGCTAATAAGTGAGGGAGCACCTAAGTCTTCCTGATTCCAAGTCCAGCATTCTATCCATTGAGGGGTTTCAAATACTTGAAGGGCTGACATGTAGAAGACAGCCTTGTTTTATTCAGACCTAGATGGCCGAACTGGGATCAATCAATCAATGATTTATTAAACCTCTACTTTATGCTAAACATTGGAGAAACAAACACTGAAGTGAGACAACCCTTTCCCTCAGAGAGCTTACATTCTATTGATGGGTGGAAATTACACATAGTAAATGTTCCTTTGCATAAAGAACAACTTAATAAATGAGTTTCCCGGGAAGGCAATAAGACCCACAAATGGAGTTTCAAATATATGCAATATGACAATTTGTTAGGGATGGTATCATAAATACTCTAGAAGTACATTACAATTCCATGACATTTTCCACTAGTACATGACATTTTAAGCCTTATTTAATGTATGTCTTGGTCCATGCTCACAAAGGACATAAGATCATAGCTGCCTGACAGTACTATGGTAGACCCAATGAGATAATAAAGGGATGACTTTTTAACTCCTCCCATTCCAATTCTCTTCAATGAATTATTTGTCAATAAATTAAATTACCAAGGATGGCCAAGAAGCAATAACCTAACATGACATAGTATAATAAGCATATATTTTAATGCTATAAGCCAGAGTTGCTTTCAGAAAATGTAAAATTTCAATGTAAAACTGGCATATTTATAGACAACTCAGAGACATTATGCTTATATACTACAAAAATTACCAAAATAAGATTTTATATATACATATATACATATTTGAATGTATTTACTTGCATGTGTGTGCATATGTATATATAGGAATATAGTATGTGTAGATATATTTTTGTCTTTGTGCACATATATGCACATTGTATATTTATACACACATGTACATATATACATGAGTGATCACTGACTTGAGAGTTATTTTAGCACCAGCTGTCTCTGGGTAGCCAAAGTATTGACTAGTTAGCTCAGAAGTAAAATTCAATACTAAGTCAGAAAAAAAGAAGAAAGATGATGCTGCATGCAATTACCATTACAATGCAACTGTATTGTGTGGCTTCCCATATAGGATTTATAAGGGAACATACACAGGAGTTCCACAAGATGAGAAGGGATGGATGGGTTGCAATTTATACTGTTGAAGGCTATGCCAACATTGCTGAGATTAAAGATCCATTGAAGCCCCCTGATATATAGTAAAGTCTTCCAGATATTCCTATATGTCAGTGATTGCATCAAGTCTTAGAATATTATAGGGTCTATATAATGCATGGAGGGGGAAGGGGAAAGGGAAAGGAATAAACATTTACATAGAGCCTATTATGTGCCAGAGACATTCCTAAATACTTTTTACAAATATTATCTCATTTAATCCTCATAACAACCTTGCAAGGTAGAAGCCATTTTTGTTCCCATTTACAGTTGAGGAAACTGAAGCAATCAGAGGTCAAGTGTCTTGCTCAGGGCCATAAAGCTAACAAATGTATAAGGTTAGATTTGAATTGAGGTCTTCCTGATTCCAGGTCCAGCACTTTATCCATTCTGTCACCAGCTATCAAATCCATATCTACTCACAAAACAAACCTAGTAATCTACACAGGAAAAACCAAGTGGATGTCTATTGCCCAGATCATGAGATTCACCTAAATGAAAATTCAATTTAGTTAGTCCATCAATACATATATCTTGGATAACAATAGCATACTATCAATGATCTGGATACAGAATTCAATAGAAGAAGAAGGGTGAAATGGATTGCCCTTGGGAAATTAGGCAGCACTCCTAGCAATTCCAAGCTATCCTTGACACAGAGAAAAGTATTAGTAATACCAATATCAGTCCAGTATTGCTATGTAACTGAGAATCCTGGCATACTAGAATATTTAAAGAATATAAAATTGTAAGCGTACCCAAAAGGCAACAGAGAGATGCATGGTGCATCCAAGTAAACTCAAACATATTACTGACATTGACTTCACACAAGAAGCAGTCAATCAATAAATAAACATTTATTAATCACCTACTATGAACCAGGCACTTTGTTAAACACTGGGGATACAAAAAGAGGCATAAGACAGTCTTGTCCTCAAGGAGCTTACAATCTAATGGAAAAGACAACATGCAAACAAATATGTAAAAAGCAAGTTATACACAGAATAAATAGGAAATAAATAAAAGAAGGAAAGCACTGGAATTAAAAGAGGGCAGAGAAGGCTCCTTGTAGAAGATAGGATTTTAGTTGTGAATTAAGGAAAGACATGAAGGTAAATAGTCATATGAGGTAGGAGAGAGTTCCAGGCATGGGGAACAGTCAGAGAAAATGCCAGGAGCTGAGAGATAAGAGTGTCTTGTCTTAGAACAGCCAGGAAGCCAGCATCACTGGATTGAAGAATATATTTGGGAAGTAAGGTGGAAAAAGACTGGAAAAGTAGGAGGGAGCTCAGTTAGGAAGGACTTTGAATGTCCCTTCTAACTTTGCTGAACTATAGGAAATTGAAATAATGGAATATCCAAGAATCACCATCAGCAAAAATACCAGCTCTGTTTTCGGTAGAGAAGTCAATAATACATTAAGACATTCCCCAGTGGTCTGTGGTTTTTGATTGCTTGTGGAGCTGTGATCCATGGGTCATCCTTATGTACTAACCATATATCTCCATATCTTTGGAGTCAAGAAAATCTGAGTTCAAATACAGTCTCAGACATTAGCTTTGTGAACAAGTATCTGCCTCAGTTTTCTCATCCATAAAATGGAGGCAAATATAACACCTATCTCCTAGGGTTTTTGTGAAGATAAAATGAGATAATATTTGTAATGTGTTTTGCAAACTTTAAAGCATTATGTAAATGTATTGTTTGTTTTGGTAACATTTATATAGCACTTACTATGTGTGAGGCATTTGGCTAAGCACTTAACATTATTATCTCATGATTCTTACAACAACCCTGGAAAGTAAGTGCTATTATTATTTCCACTTTGCAGATGAAGAAACTGAGGCAAACAGCATTTTAGTGACTCTGCCCTGGGTCACACAGCTAGTAAGTGCCTGAGGCTATATTTTATCTCAAATTTTCTTGACTTCAGGTCCAGCACTCTAACTGCTGCACCACCTAAATGCTCTGTAAATGTCCTATAACTTTATTGACAGGGGTTTGGACTGTGAGAAAGATAGGGATGGGAGAGGACACAATCAGGATTCTGATTAGGCTGTTGGGGGGTTAAATCCACATTCTCCTTTTTATATCAATCAAATTATGCATATTTTCAATGGTACATCATAACACCAACTTTTCATGGCTTGTAAGCATATTTCCAAGTTTTTACTAAAAAGCAAGTTATTAAAAATTGATGGGAATGCACTGGAATCTCCATTTTCATCCTTTGATTGATATTTGATTGTTAGAGTTTTGTTTCTCTTGTAATTGGAAACTAAAACAATAATAATAATAATAATAATAATAATAATTAGAATATACATTTATAGTGTTTTAAGGTTTATAATGCCATTTCTTTATAACAACTCTATTGGGAGTAGATAATACAAATATTATCTACTATCTATTATATATAATACAAATACAAATATTATTATATTCATTTTACAGAGGACACTGAAGTACAGAAAGGTTAAATGACTTACCTGAATCACGTAGTTAGTATCTGGCAGAGCCAAGGTTGGAATCCAGTTGGAATTTAGTTCTAAGTCTCAAGGTATCTCATTCTCTTTTGGGGAGGCAGGGGGGTGGTTTAAGGAGGAGAATGGGTTCTCCAGGTCAGGTCACTCATAGTTTGAAAGCTTTAACCTATTCCATTTTTTAAAAAAATAAATTAGATTAGTTCTCTTCTCTTTAAGCAGCATGGTAGCTCTCTACTCCCAGGGGCTTACCTTATTGTGTTAGACTTTGTGAGGATACCCACTCAGCTTATATCCTACTTCTGTTCTCTGACCTACCAGTCTCAGCCTCCCCCAGGATCAGGGATTACAGGCTTTCCTCTAGTGCTATTGCTACTATTTTATAATTACCAGAGAGAAAATATATTAAGCATGTAACTATAACCCCTATCCATCCTCCCAGGAGCAAGTACAAGCCAAATTCTAGAGCGATTAAAAACAATTAGAAAAAAATAATTAGGGTCTTTGTTTAAGAGGTTTTACCTTTCTTAAAGCTTTTTGTACCATAAGCAAAATTTTTAAAAGCATGTTCATACATCACAAAAATTACTGTATTTTGCTATGTTTCCATTTTAAAGCAGATACAACCCAAGGCCCAGTCAACTCTTTCTATTTGGTGCTATTCCTGGTAGATCTTTCTTAAATTAAAAGATTATCCTTTGTAATAAGAATCTGGTTAATGAATTTGTTAAAAGTTATCCCCTGTTGTTTGGGTTCTAGCTCAAAGAGATCATAAGCATTTTCAATTTATCTTTTGAGCTTTTCAGTCCCTTTAACACACTCATGTTCCCTTTTGGGCAGCATGTACCACATTGGAGGCTGATTGTGAGATCTTCTTCCAGGAGAAAATGTTTCTGCAGCAATAGTGTGCTGGTACTGGAATACCTGTTGGGGCCAGCCTTATATGAGGTAAAGTCATTCACCTTAGAACAAAAATTCCCTTTGCCAATACCTTCAGTAACATAATTTCTTCCACATATAATAATGTTACATTCCAAAGCTCAGTTTTTCAAGGAAAATAAGTGGCAGAAGAGTAACTTGCAAAGCACTTTTCTCAAAACAACCATGTGAGATAGGAAAGAAAGAAAAAGAAGGAAGAAAGGAAAGAAAGAAAGAGGGAGGAAGAAAGGAAGGAGTAAAGGAAGGAAGGAAGGAAAGAAGGAAAGAAAGAAGGAAGAAAAGAAAGAAGGAAGGAAGACATCCCTCATATGTACTAGGCATTATGGTAAGATCTGGTGATAAAAATATAAAAGAGAGACAGTCTGTGGCCTCTGGGAACTTACATTTTAATGGAGAAGAGAACATTTATAAGAGATGGTTACCATGAAATGGTGTTTTGGTTTGGGAAGTCATTGGGATGGTGAGTGGAGCCAATTGAAGTTAATTGATATGTCCTTTCCAGAGTCATGGTAGTAGTGATTTGATTACTATTATCAGAGCCAAAGGCAGAAAATGGTTTGACAGAAGCATGACAGGAAGATGGTAGGGGCAAAGCGGTGTATGGCTGGGTCCACCTAGATATGATTAACAATCAGGACGGCCCCAATCCTGCCCCAGGGCAGGAGTTGGAAGTCTAGATAGGAAAGCACCAAGGCAGTGTGGCAGGAAAATGGCTGATGGCAGTGAATAGTGCAGATATGTTTTATCCTTGCAAATGCAAAAACTGAGGCTCAGAGATGTTCAATTCCTTTTTGCAATTTCTCTTAGCACCTCTGACCAGAAAACACAGTACCTCAGAATACCCCTTTAAAGTTTTGATTAAGGAAATGTGAGTGGAGTTTCCTGGTCATACCAGAAAGAGGAATCACAAAAAATGACCCTTAGAATTATCACCTAAACAGGGTTGTATTGGTTTTAATTTATGTACTTTGGGGAGTAGGATTAGTTCTATTCAAGTTATCCTTATTACAGACAACTCATAGCTGCCTCACAAGCAGGAATCAGTATGCCTGGCTCTGAAATATTTACTATCTATGTGACCATGCATGAAAGAAAGAAAGGAAGGGAGGGAGGGAGGGAGGAAAAAAGGAAGAAAGGAAGGAAGGAAGGGAGGGAGGAAGGAAGGAAAGAAGGAAGGAAGGAAGAAAAAAGGAAGGGAGGGAGGAAAAAGGAAAGGAGGAAGGAAAGAAGGAAAGAAGGGAGAGAGGGAAAGAGGAAGGAAAGAAGACATATATCCTACATGCCAGGTACTATGGTAAGACCTGGGGATACAAATATGAGAAACAGCCAGTGACCTCAAGGAACTTAGAAATGTAGAAAGGAACCTGAGATCCGGAGATGTCATTAAATTGTTGGACTGGTACAATAGCACTGGCACTGTGATTCTAGGAGCCCTCCATCTCCTTCAGTGTAGGGGAAAAGAGTCCTGACCCTGGATTCAGAGAAACTTGGTTTAGATTTTGCCTCTGCTGCTTGTTACTTAAGGGATCTTAACAAATTAGTCTATCTCAGCCTCGGTTTCTTCATCTATACACCATGGGGGTGGGGGATGGATTAGATGGCCTCTTTGCTCCTTTCTAACTTTTAAGATCTATGACAGTTATAAACAGGGAAAACTCAGTTTCCTTCCACAGTGGTGGAAAGTGAACCCAGTGACAGAGTCTTACATCAACAGAGGCTTTGGGGCCTTGTGTGGTCAGAAGACAGCCCCTGCAGCCAAGAGAGTGCAGAAGGGACAGAGAGTAATGTCTGCTGACACCTTCTGGGGACAAGGAAGAACTACAAGAACTGAGAAGAAAAGCTATGTCTGACATTACCTGCTAGGAACAATGAGTTGGGCAGCACCAGGAGACATCAGCTGCGAGAAACACAGAGAGGGCCCTGCGTATTTAAGACTGGTTTATGTAGATCTTCAGGAAATGTTTATTGGGAGATGCTTATTCATCCAACTATTTTCATTAATGTTCCAAGGACTCTATTTTGTCTTTCAGTAAAAGTTGCTGTTGTTTTTTTGTTTTTTTATTTTTTTATTTTTATTTTTTTACTGTGAACTATTTTTGTAAGGAGAGAGTGTGTTGGTCTCAATATACATTTTCTCAGGTTTCTTGGGTAGAGGCTACAGGCCAAGAAAGTGAGAAAATACTACCAAAAGATATTTCCTTCATGTCGTGAGAGCCTAAGTAAAAGGGCACTTAATCTGTGTTTGTATCTTATCCCCCTAACAAGTCCATGAGGGCAAGGAACATGTCTTATCTAAACTTACATATTTCCCTCAGTACCTAAGATAGTGCTCTGTATACATTAAGTACTTCATAAATGCTTGTTTAGCAAATGAATTCAAGTTAAACATATTCTTAGAATTTTGGGTTGTTCCAGATAGTGTGACAGTATGACAGGCCATGTAGAATAAGGAAGGTATGGGTTCAAACACCACCTCTGAAACTTTCTAGATGTGTATGATCTTGAGCAAGTCATTTTCCAAGCTTCCACTGCCTTGTCTCTAAAGTGGGTACAGTAATACTTGTATCTATCTACATGACTAATGTGAAAATATGTTTAATAGGAATGAATATGTAAAGCCTATATCAGATTGCACACCATCTTGGAAGGGAGGATGGATGGAGGGGGAGAAAATTTAAAACTAAAAAGTTTATGAAAATGCATGTTAAAAACTAAAAATAAATTAATATTAAAAAAAGGAAAAAATACTTGTACAGAGAGGCTTAAATTAGATAAGGTAGACAAAGTCTCATGTAAGTGTTCCAGTGTCTTACACATAGCAGACACATAATAAATGTTTCTTAGAGAGGGAGTGTGTCTTAGCTGATAGAGTCTTGGATTTTAAGTTAGTTGGAAGATGGTTCAAATTCCTTATCCTGAACTTATTAGCTTGTAGCCTCAGTTTCCTCATTCATAAAATGGGAATAATACATTCAATACCTAAAAAATTTGCAGAATTCTTGGGAAGGTCAAAGAGATGATTTATGAAATGCACTTAAGCAAACCTTACAGAATATAAAAATGTCAGTTATTATTCCTTCAGTTCAAGTTTTCAGATTATCCCTGGAATTGGCTATAAAGACCCTAATACCTTAGCCATGAAAAGATGCTTTTCCAAACAGGGACCTCAATAAACTTCACCTCCATGAAAATCAAATACAAGGAAAATATCCTCCTGACTTTCTTTCAAATGAATTTTCTTGGACTGTGGGGACATCTTGTGGCAGCTTTTATGACCAGTTTTATCAGCTTCAAAATGTGAGTGTTTTTCTTTTTGTCTTCATCTCATACATAGGACCAAGATCACAGCATCTCACAGGAGCCTTGATTTGGAACTGGAAGGGACCTTAGAGGTCAGTGCATCAAATTCCCTCATTTCACAAATGAAGAAACTGAAGCTCAGAGTATAAAGGTGCATCACACAGGTGAAATCTTCAGATGTACATAGTTCTGGGCCTTCAGGTGCCTCCAAAGAAAACCATAAACTACTAAGAAAGTTCTCAAATGAAAGATTTGATGGGAGATTAAAGGAATTAGAATTATTTTTCAAGGAAAGAATAAGAAGAGAGACCAAGAGAACAACATATGTAATCTTAGGAAGACAAACAACTTTGAAACATGGTCAATTGTTAATCCAGTAGCCTGTAAACTCCCTAAGGTCAGGGATTTTTGTCTTTGTATTTCCATCACTTGATGGGATGGGCACAGTGTATGGCACATGCTAGTTGCTTAGTAAGTGAGTGTTGAATTAATCAGGAGCTGAGATAAAGAAAATCCATAGGTAACCCTACCCCCTTCCCTCCCCCCCCCAAAAAAAACACCTTATCCAAACATTCTTACCAAGGCTGCTAACACGAAGTACAACTGTTGAATTTGAGGGAGTGTCCCTTTTTCCTTTCTTTAACTCCACCAGGGTTTTGATAATAAGGAGAACCAACAGCAAGATGTAGTCAATATGGTGTGCAAAGCACTCAGCTAGGTACTGCTGGGATGTGGTTTAGATAAGAAAAGGAACTTTCAGCCTAACCAGGAAAACACGTTAATTCAGATGGAGATAATATCCAATATTGTATGATAAATGCATTAGAAAGGTATATAACAAAACGTCGCATGGTATCTAAGGAGAAAGATTGCCATACCTGAGTTTGAATGTTGCCTTAGGCACTAGCTAGCTGAGTGACCCTGGGTAAG